AGGTGAAGGTAAAGGTGATGGTGAAGGTAAAGGTGAAGGTGAAGGTAAAGGTGATGGTGAAGGTAAAGGTGATGGTGATGGTGAAGGTAAAGGTGATGGTGAAGGTGAAGGTGATGTCTCCAGCGGCTGATGTCCTCCTGTCTGGCACTGACTTGTTAGCATTTTCAGCCTTCACCTTCATATCTGCACACCTCATACTCTCTGTGTGGATTAATCGCTAATTGGCATGTATCTTGGTTGTCTCTGGCTCAGTGCTCCACAGCGCCCCCCACTGGCCAGAAGTCCACCCCCCCCCCCCACCACCACCACCACCCCAGACTTCTGCAGTGTGTATTTCTGACAGACTGGTATGAGATGGAGAGCTGGTGTCCCAGACGGGCTTGCAAACAGGTGCATTTTATCAAGCGATTGTATGAAAACAGAACTGACCTCAAACGGCAGACCGTAACTCCCCTGATAAGATAGGACGAGATCGTTAGGGCTTTTTATACTGTCGTCAGGCAACGTTCCTGGGACCAAAGTCTACTGCGGACCCAGCTGGGAGTTTGCCTGGTACCCGCACAGCCCATATCAGTCATTTCCTTTGGTTTTGACAATGTAACAAGCTGTTTATTAATTGGCTGGTGCAGGGAAGATTACCAGGCCACTCTGAAGAATGACCATTACAGTATATAGAGCTCCCCAATCGCCACCCCCCCCCCCCCCACCCTGACATGTTAAAAATTAGGACCAATATTTTAGCATGAAGTCTAAATTAATAATATCAACAAAGAGAATTTAATAAACACAATTTCTTTATTTTCACTTTACTATGAAAAACAGAATACACAAATAAAGCAGATTTGTCGTTGCAGCGTACCCTGTAATCGGCCGCCCTCGGGGGCCCCCTCCCAGGCAGTTGCCTGTCCTGCCTGTCCTCTCCCTATGCCTCTGCTTACAGCTTCCAGAACTCACGCTGCACTCTTCTCGGGTTAAAGTTCAAAGGTCAATGAGCCTCATTATTCTGACATTCTTTAGATGGTAGAGGTCAGGGAGGGATAAAATGAATGGCTGTATATCGCATGTCCATTCCTAGGACATTTAAGGCCAAGGCTCAAAGACAAAAGGTCAAAGGTGAAAGGTCATGAGAGGTAAATTTAATATTTGAAATGCAGATCCAGAGTGTTATTTAGAAGCAGTACATCAACATACGTACAGAAAATAATTGTGACTTTGAAATTAATAATAGATTAGCAAAATATTAAGAATATTATTATGTTTCTGAGAATTAAATGTATAATAGCGAGTAGGACTGGACAGTACCATGCTACTGTGGCACATGACATTAACTGAGGATCATCACGTCTGCTCTGATGCACGCGTCTGCAGATCTTCAGCAGGCATGTACCTTCTGCTAGAGGTGGCCTTCGACCGAGAAGACCCACATCAGAGATCCGCTTCCTGGCCACCTCGGGCCGGGCTGGACCTCGGCCGCGAGCGGCCATCTGGCTGCATGAACCTCGAGCCACTCCTGCGGGCCGTGACCTGGCTGGAAAAGGCTGGGAAATCACCGCTTTATGGAGGGAACCGGCCAGCAACTACAGTCATGGCGGTAGGTCCCTCATGCCTTGCCGTTTATTTTTTTATTTTTATTTTTTTTGGGTCGGGGGGTTGCTTTTGGACTTTGCACCAACTGTCTCCATGATTGAAATTGTAGGGGCCAGCACAATATATTTAATACATATTAAGACACAGATAGAGATTACGGAAAACAAGACAGTGCAGTTTAATTAATCCTCACAACATAAACGCCCAATGGCTCTCCTATTTGACATATGGGCAGCGGGTGGATCCATGGGTCAGGACTCTGTACTCATGATCAGAAGGTTGCTTGTTCAAATCCCATGGCTGGCAGAGTGATGTCACAGTTGAGCCCTTGAACAAGACTCTTACCGCAAATTACTCCAGGTACACTGGCTGACTCAGCCCTCTGATCCTGCACTTACAAGTCACTTTGGACAAAAACTGTCTGCTAAATAAATAAGTATAGATGCTGATCATGCAGTTGCATTTCCAGTCAGAATTTGTGCGGGAAGATTTAGCCGCAAAATGTCTGCTGCACTAATTGTCATTATACATTTCTATTTTAATATAACTTTTTTAAAGATTAATCTGTGAAGCGACGGAAAAATAAATAAACAAATAAACAGACTTTTTAATGGGCTGGCGCGAGCCTGCAAAACAGACAAAATGGTTTCCCGGTTATTGGTGTCATTAGTGCTTTACGGTGCGAAGTCGGGGCAGGTCAGGAGCGCCACTGTACCTTTAAGACGTGAGGAGGGAGGGAGGGAGAGATGGAGGGATGGATGAAGGGAGGGAGGGAGAGAGTGAGCGAGCGAGCGGGGGAGTGAACGAGGGAGGAGCGCAGCGCACACTGCAGTCGTACGGCCGGGGATCCCTGGGATAAACAATCAGTCGCGCTCTTACATTGTTATTGTTCGGTCGCTACGGATGTTTTTATTATCGCCCCTTTAACGCCGCTACTCCGCTGACGCGCCCGGGAACCGCAGCCCCGGACCTGCGAAGGATTTCGCCCTTTCAGGAGAGCCAGCGCATTTTTCCCCGGAGTCCAGTCCACGTCGAGCCATCTGGTCAGCGGCGAGGGCAGGTATGCGCCGAGCCGGGCGACTCGGACCCCGGGAGCCCGCGGGTGGGAGTGGGGGTCCCCGGCGTCGGAAAGGCACGGCCGTCCGACGGATCGTGCCGCCGCAGCTCTCCTCTCGCTGATCGCCCATGTTGTTTGTCTTTTTTTTCTTCGGTGCGTTTTTTTTTTTCGGCTTGAACTAGAGCGCAGATCCGACGGCTCCGCTGCCAATGCGCAGCGTATAAAGGACGCGTCAGCCGGGTGGCCCCGGGGCCGGAGGGGGGCAGCCACAGCCCGCTCTGCTCTATTGCATTAAGGTGAGGCCGGGCACATAATGGCTCTTCATTAATCAGAGGCTGATCTTTGCGTCACTAAAGCCGGAGAAGGCCGTGTTTCAGCACCATCGCCTCCGGGTCTGCGGTGCTGCCGCCGGTGTCGTCTCCGCTCATCCTTTCAGCCAGTCCGCGTCCCCTACTGTGTTTCATTAATGTGGGGTCACCGTGATCGGCAAGCGACTTCGTTACACTTCAGGAAATGGGTCAGTCGGCTAAATCCTGGGTTATGTGATCTCTTCCCACCCTGCGATTACTGCAACTTAACCCAATACGCCCATCCGCGCTCAGTGCAATACGCCTTCAGCCTGGATCCCCGTGAAAATGGTCCGTGTGCTGTATGAAAATGAACTGACAGCTTCCTGCACCGTATATAAAGCTGCACATTTAGACAGTGACAGACGCAGTAGAGCCAGATCCCGAATCTCAGTCGGAGGCTGATATTGATCATTACCCGGTGGCGGGTCGCGCCGGTTCATCCTGCGCCACCCGTCGGTGCAGCGGCCGCCTTAAAATACCCACAACGATGCCATTCATTACGGCGTTTTCCGCAGGTACAATTAATGCTGAACATCTTTAAAATACTCTGCGGTTTGTTGGCGGAGATCAGGGCACAACTTCACTTACAAGCCGCAGTCAGATGTAACGCTTAAACGAATTTATTGAAGAAGCAAGCTACCAGGCAATAAACTAAAAAAAGAAATTGCTGAATTTGAACACTGTGTGCTATCGGCCTATTTCATTAATCATTGTTTGTGTTTTTTGAAATATGCATTCGACTATTTCGTAGTATTATGTTTTGTAGTATTTCTGTAGTAGCCAAAATGAGGGACTTAAAGGTTTTGACAGCTTCACACCCCGTAGTAATGGAGTATTTCTGTAGTATATTAGAGACCAGCGGGTTTTGACAGTTTCATACCCTGTAGTAATGTAGTATTTCTGTAGTATTTTACAGACTTGTGGGTCTTGACAGCTTCACATCCTGTTGCGATGTGTTTAATCCTCCGCTACATGTTGGGTCTTTAAGCTCCTTTGCGTCGCACACATGTATGGATTTTGCATTTGCCGGCTTCGTGGTTATAATGGAGTATCTTCTGCCATCGATCAATGCGTGGGCGGACGGGGGCAAAGGTCCGAGCCGAAAGGGTCACGGAATCGGCCGGGGAAAGGGATGGCGGCTTTGTTGGTTCAGGTGTTGCCCTAAATCCCCCGGTGCTGCTTGAACGAGTCCGATGGCGGTGCCAAGCTCACAACATTAACTCGTCGCCTTATTCCGCTTTTCAATAATATCGATTGTCCCTGCTGAAGTATTCATTTCGTTACATGTTTTTCCCCCCTGTTTTGTCACGTTAAACGCTGACATACTTTGGAAGTTGACCCAAGCCAGCTGTAATGTTTTGTGTTGATCCCGTTGAACTTATGATATTTTAAGAGGTTAAATATTTTTTATAGGCCTGTAAACGTCGCTGGATACTATTGACCGGAGAATCTGCCAGGAGCCCTAACAAGAGTTTCCTCCGAAACGGGATAATCCACTGATAGGCAGTGCAAACTGAGCTGACTTTTGCTCCTGCTTGTGTTAGACAGTAATTTTGAAACAGTTGTGATTTGCTCATTATTGGATTCAAGTGAAAACAATCTGGTGTATGATAAATAGGTGATGTGTCATAGTGGTTAGTTGACCTGCAGGATGGGACACTCTGATCTACATTTAACAAAACAGAATTTCCTCCGGTCAAAACATCCAGTTGTAGAAATGTCTACAATAAATGTTTATAACATATATAATGTAGGAATGCTTTATAAACCTTTGTAGATTGCTTCTGAAAGCTGTTAGCAGTAAATGATAACCAGGACGGCAATAATAATATCAGTAAAACAGTATAATTTTGGGTCATACTTAGCCACAGAATGCACACAAATTGTGATAACAGCTATAAAACACGGTTTGACTTGATAAAAAATATATATTTATAATGTTGGGTTAAGCTTTTCTTTTCCAGTGCTGAGAGTTTAGGAGCAGTAATTGGAGTCAGATTAAGCTCTGGCTCTGTTTGGGTTCTGGGGCGGAGGGCGTGTTTGGGCCCCGAGTGCTGTCACTCTCGTGCTGTCACTCTCGTGCTGTCACTCTCGTGGACATGTTGGACAGGACAGCTGTGTCCTGTGTGGTGTCCTGCTCGTGCCAGACCACTGGTTGGTGTGGAGATGGGGGCGTTGGGTCTCTCACAATGGGAGAAACAGGACGCCTGGGCCGCTACCCATGGTGATGGTGATGGTGAAGGTAAAGGTGATGGTGAAGGTAAAGGTGATGGTGAAGGTAAAGGTGATGGTGATGGTGATGGTGATGGTGATGGTAAAGGTAAAGGTAAAGGTGATGGTGA